ATATCTTGAGTAATTAACCTCACCTGGGAGGAAGTCCGCCATGCCCCACAATGCTCATGCTGGAGTCCTACGTGACTGCCCACAGTCAGTGGCTTATCTGTTTTGTGCCTTCAGCCTTGAAGGAGAGATGAGATAAGGTTAGGCAGACACACCTTGTGTGATTAACATGCCTATGCTGAGTCAGGCAGCCGAGATCCTGCAATAGAAGTGAAGGCACTTAAGATGGAAACAGAAATTCCAAGCTTGTATCTTCCTTTCCAGTTATCTCAGGAGCCCAAGAGAGGATTCAACGCTCTTTAGCAACAGCAGTTTCTAAGTGCCTACTACAGTGTACTGTCTGACAAAGCTTTCCTGGGAAGACGTAACACATGTGCTTACTCACCCCAGAGAGGGAACCCCTGACAGACCCAAGTACAGATACCACCAAAGTCCAACCTGGTAAATCCGTGAGTTTATTGGGGTTACTTATAGGAGTATGGGTGAGGAATTACTTACAGGAGCAGAAATGAGCCAAAGACAGCTGTCTCACCAAAGCCCACAGCAGGATGGGTGACAGCTCATAAAAGCTGGGAAGTCTGGAGCCCGCCCGCTGCACAGCCTGCAGGCAGCTCAACAGGTCGGAGAGTGTCCTTACCAGCCGATTATGCTCTAAACCTCTTCAAGGCAGCTCAGCTGTTTTCTGCTTCTTCTGAACTGGTTTCAGAGTCTTCATGGCTCTTCTGTGAGAGACTTCTTGGAAACTCTGACACCAGTCTGAGACTCAGCTTTTATTGCTTACTTTGGTAGGGAGGGGTTTAGTGAATCTGGTCAATTTCAGGGACTTCCTGAAGCTATTTTGAGTTGTTTACTTTTCTGCATAAGGAGCTTCCCTGCAGGATGGAAAGTTTTAGTCCTGGAAGACACTGCTATGTAACACAGTGCAAAAGAATCCATGCCTAATTCATATGTAAAATTCCAATCCCTCAAACAGAAGGGTGCTCATATGATGATAATTGTCAGTATAAATTATCTTCTTCCCACTTTTTAAGGGAAGATATTGGACTGCAGTAAAGGTGAGTGACTTGTGCAAGTTTAGCACATCCTGTGCCAAAATCCGGAGCAGGGTCTGTGCTCTGTGCTCACTCGTGTGGCATCCAACATCTGAATGTGGCCCAAGAACAGCCATAGAGCCTGAGCAAGAACAGACACATTGCATCACTGTGGGAGAGGAGTCCGCAGAAGAGCTTCCACTACAGAGATGCTAATGGCCCAAAGAAGTGTGTGCTCCACGGAGACACTAATGGCTGTTAGGACTCCACAGTTCTGGCAGCGGCTTACCTTGTTAATGGCTGCAATTAGTTCCCCACCTTGGACTGACCCTGAGAAAGCCTGTCAGGTGTTGTCCTGCCAGAGGGGGAAAAACAGGTGGAGGGGGAGCGTCTGTTTTTTCTCTCTGAATTCATCACAGGGAGGTTGCTCTTTCTAATGGCTTTAGAATCTGAACTTTCGTAAAAGGCACCTTATCTCCCTGCCTTTCTCATATGTCTTCATCTGTTCTATTGACTCTCTTTGATGGAATATACCAGCAGGCCCTGCAAAGTGCTTTTTAATACTTTAGTAAACAGTTGAGAGAGAAACCTCATTACAGATAAAGTGAGAAGTGAAGTTAGACAGCCCATTTATCTTACTCAAGATGAAATAAGGGCTATTGTTCAATTAGGTTAAAATACAATCTCTCATGTTTCCTTCCTAATGTCTTGTTTGGGATCAGGGGTGGGGGAAGTGAGTGGCAGGATGAGTAAGCTTCTGAACTATTGCCCAGGAATGTGCAACAGAATGTGACTTGCTAAGGGAGGGCATCAGGCTCAGCAGCTGCTCCCATAGAAGCTGCTGGGCATCAGTTTCCTCTACAGGAAGTCAGGCCTGGTTCCCTGGCTATGGATCCCTGGGAGACCCCATGCCTAAGTCCTTGGCTGTCGGGAGTTTTCTAGATGCCTCAGAAGGGAAATGGAAGAAGCAGGTGGTTGGTATGAGCGTGGCCATAAAGGAGGAATAGTTAGAAAATCAATCTGGTCTGCACCTCAAATGTATAAATTACATATCTGCCCTTTCTCTGTAGCCATTAATAGTAGCAAAGTTTTTGTGTATTGTCAGTGGGGATGGGAGGGGAGAGGCTCCGGGACAGGCACAGAGGGTGGGGGAGGATAGCCGTGGAGGAGGAGGGAAGTGGGGCTCACACCTGGCTCTTTCTCAGCCTGCTGGGCTGGACAAGAAAATGTTTTAGAGTCTTTTCCTTGCATTCATATTTGTTTTCAAAGAATAAGCAAAGCCCTATTTCTTCTTTTAGACTGATTTTGGATGAAGGCTGGTATCTTTGCTAGGAAGCACATGGTTTTGGTTTGTTTTATTTTGTTCACATAAGATTTATCTTGAGATGTCTATCAAAAGTTAAGCAATAATAACCTCAAGAAAAGAAAAGCCAAAGTGCCAAGTCATCTGATGTCAGACCTTCTGGGTACAAACATGATATTTATGCTCATATAGGCTGATGTGTTAATCTTTGCACTATAATTATAGTACTTTTAAAAACATGTATTTCCAGTCAAATGTCTACCGCTGAGCTATACCCCCTAAAAATGTGTATTTGGATAGAAACAGAAGTTGGTTTATTCATTTTTTTCTTTACATCACATGTGCATCCTCTCTCTCTCTCTTTCTGTCTTGATTTATACATATATATATATACACACACACACACATACACATACATATACATAAACATGTAAATATGGAGACCAGAGATCAGCCTTTGGGTTTTGTTACTCATAACAGCCTCAATGTGCTTTTGAGACAGGATCTCTCATTCTCTTACTGGGACCTGAACGTTACATATTAGACTAGGCAACGTGGCTAGTGAGCCACAAGGATCCTCCTTGTCCCCAAGTCCCCAGTGTGGGAATTAGAAGCATGGGCCACCAATGTCAGAGTTTCATGTGAGTTCTGGGGATCAAACTCAGGTCCTCATGCTGTGGAACTGAGAGGAACTGAGTTTATGATCTCGAGGGAATCTCTTAAACCTGAAATGTGTACCAGAGATCTGGTAAGCTATACTGTTCCAACAGCCATCTACATGTGCAGGTAGATGTCTGGTTCCCATGGACGCCAACAGTCTTTTCAACACAAATGGAATGCTGGCCCCTTGGAGAGAAACAAATGGCGTTCTATGAAGCCCTTAGTTAATTTTAAGGGAATTAAACAGAGATTGTCAGTTCCATCTGGGCCTTTTCCTAAAGCTGATATGTCAAGCAAGTGGTTATCTCATTCTTCCCACTGTCTCTTAAATTCCCTTTGGTGAAGAACTATCTCTCTCCCACCTTAGAAGTTGATTAGTATAGATTGCTCCAGGACAGCAAACATGGGGCAATTATAGGGTGCCTTGCTCCCAAGGCTGGACCAGTGCCAGCAGGAAGCACAGATGGGAACCTTCCCTTTGTCATTCCAAAGGTAAAGTCTTGGAGAGTTGGAGTGAGGACTCACCCACCCACCCATCCTTGAATTATATTGGAAAGTGACATCATTGCCTCCAGGATGATCATTCTCATGCTCATCTCAATTTAAAAATGAAGTCAGACTTCTTGACAGAAAATAAGTCTGGTTTTGATGATTGACTTACAATGAAACATGGATTTGCCAAGTTGCTATCCTGTATAAATTGAGTATCTAAGTATATATGTCTAACTTAAAAAAACATTCTGAGCCAATAGAGACTCTAAAATATGTCGAAAATTAGACTGAGAACGAACACTTTTAGATGTACATTAGAAATTTTGTACAGTGCACATAAATTAAAGAGTCTGCAAAAAAAAAGTTGAAGAAACACTAGGCTTTCGTAAGGGAATAAGCTATATAAGCTATGTATGCTGAAACAACCCGAGGAAGGTTCTTGAAGTAGTAGGACTGAGCTTCATATTAAAGAATATTAGGATTGGCCTATAATAATAAAAGGCGGTAGGGGGAGGGAGGCTGCTAGACCCAATGTCAACAGCATGTGCAATAACTTTAAGGTTGGACCAGCCCTGCCCATTGAGGTGACCATGTGATTACCAACCTCATCTTGGGACAAGAAGAGATAGAATGTCAAGGGCATTAACTCTGGCACCTGTATAAGCCTGGCAAGAGTTAACATGCTATTTGTTTGGAAGCTGAGGGCGGGCAAGCTGGACAGCTGAATGGGTGGTGAGGAGGCTAAAAAAGACTTTTGAAACCCCAGAAGTAATCTGGATTTAATTTCAACCTCTCTCGGTGTTTCTACGTAGAATATGTTGGTCTTCTGAATTCTCATGAAACTATTTCCATTCTGTAATTATAGGATGTCTCCCATGCCGTGACAACTATTCGCTTATATGTCAGTCTCTTCCAATCTATAACCTCTTTAAGGGGAGAGGCCCTGTCTTATCCATCTTTGTAATTTCAGTCTCTGGCACATCTTGCTTCTGGTGACAAGATCTTAATAAAGTTTTGATTCATGATGAAGGGATGAACAAAAGAAATCCAAAAGGAAAAATGATGAGGGATGGCATAAGAAAACCAGTGCTGCATCTTCCTAGGTACTAGGGACCGTTGGTCATCGAGCAAAGTCGTTCATGAAGGCAGCTCACTGGGCTCTAACCATCACTGCGAAGCGAGAGTGGACAAGTAAATGAGACTGACTTTTGTTTTCAGTTAACGTGCACATGTGCTTATACACGTGCCTTTGTATTTGTTCTGAGTGAAAAATGAATTTCTAACTGTGGGTCACAGTGAAGCAGGTGCTAGAAACACTGGAGCACATTTTGTTGCCTGGCAGCAGTTGAGATGATGGCCTGGCAAGCAAGGTCAGCTGAGAGCAGCAGGACAGTATGAAGCAAGCGTAAGAGGGACGGAACATCCGATTGGCCAAACTCAGGAGATCCCCGTGACTCAGCACAGAAGATATTGAAGCATATCCGCACAACTCCACAAAATTGAAGTAGCCTTTTGTCAGTCTGCTCACACACTTCTGTCTGTTTGCCAGTGGTCACAGGTGGGCCTCTCCACCTGGTGTTCTGTGCAGGTAGGCGTATGGGAAGAGCTTGGGCCAGTGGACTGTGGGTACCTCTTTTAGGCTGGAGCGTGTAATGTCTGATATGAGACCTTTTAAATTTCTCATTCCTCCTGTGTGGAATCCGGAAAGGTTTAAAGTACCATTTTTTTTTTCCTTCTGTGAGTCTGATCTCTCAAGGGAGGGGATTTGGGTCAGGGCTCCTTGACCAGCCTCTGGTGAACATGTAGGATGAGCAGGAGAGAAACTGTCTTAAGCATCTGAGAGTTGGAGAGTACTGATCATCGTAGCAAAACGTATCTTAGCCTAACCGAGATGGTAGCACTCTCACCAAACTAGAAAGGGGAAGACACTGTTCTCAGTTTTGGAAGGAGCTCTTGCTAGGGAGCAAAATCTATGTGGTGTAGTGACGATGAACTGAGGACACAGAAAAAAAATCCATTATTCAATACCATTAGAGCTAGAACTGTTCCAAACCTCGGGGTTTACTCCTGTCTCCCTCACACTCCTCTCACCGTGAGCCGTCTGCTTTCTTACGGCAGGTACTGCCTGCCTACCCCCGTGGCCATCTCTAATCTACCCGAGAACAGGATCTCTTTCCACTGCAGAGGCATTGTGCAGATATTAAGGCTAAGGATCTCAGACGGGAAAATCATACCAGACTGTCCAGGGTCTGATCTAGCCACATGAGTCTTTTGAGCTGGAACCAGAGATGACAGTGTGAAAAGGATCCAACCCACTCTTGCAGTTTTGATGGAGGAAGAGAGGATGCCAGTGACGAAAACGTAAACCCATGGGAAGAGGCAATCACTTCTTCTTTAGAGTTTTCAGAAATGGACATGGCCCTGCTAGTCCTTGCTTTTAGCCCAGCGAGGTGCAGGTCAGACTTCTGACCTGCCGAACTGTCGCTCATTTTGTAATTTTCAAGCCACCAAGTTTGTGATCACTCGTTACAGAGAAAGAGGAAACCAACATAATGCCCTGCCCCTCCCTAACACCCATCACTCTGTCTTCGTTGTGTGTCTTGTTCCTTTCACCCCCTCAGTCTGAATGCTTCCCAGTCCTGCTCATAGGCTTGTTTTCAAAGCTCAGTCCCAGTGCTGCTCTGTGGCGACACTTAAGTGCCCGCCGCTGGAGGAGCACCCGTTCCCTTGCCAGCCTCTTAAGCTTCACTTTCAGCTTCTCACTCTCACCCTGGTGTGGGCCTTCCCATGGATTTCCATCTGTCCTTAGGTGGTTCCCAGCACGCCGCATCTGTGTGACTCACACACAAATGGTATGCAGAATCGACAAGGCAGCACTTTCAGGAAAGAGCTATTTGTGTGGTGTCTTTTTATTTTCTTTAAACCACTTGACCATTGCAGCTGCTGGAGGACATCTGAGACTTCAGTCCAACAATAGTGACATTTAGGCAGTTATTGTCTCTGTGAATGTCCGAGAGAGCCATGAAGAATTTTGCCATGGGCACCACGGGCTGCACACCAGGGCCTCTTCTTAATTTTTTTTTTTTTAAATCTTAAAGAGTCCCAATTTTCTTTTCTGTTACCTGTGTTTCCTCATAGACCTAGTCTGCACTCTCAGCTTCTAGGAGTGGGAGAGATCATGTGTCTAAATTAATTATGGCGATCCCATTCCCTTTTCTAGTGATTGCTTTAGAAATGACCAAGGAAAGATGAACTAGAAGGCTCTTTACAGAATGAGATGGTAGAAGCAGCCAGCCAGATTTTTTTTTTTTTTAAGGCTAAATACAATTTGAAGGGAAGGGAGGGAGTTCTCTTTAGGGCAATGGTCATGCATTAGGTAAAAGCAGAGGGGTTGTTTTTTTTCTTTCTCTCTCTCTCTTTTTCTCTTTCTCTCTCTCTTTCTTTTTGTCTTAATGTGAAGTCAGTGAGGTCAAAGTGGGAACCTTAATTTACTTCTTATGCTTTACTTAGACGAGATAATGCACTTAGTAGTGCTTGGCTGGTCTCACATGCTTGGCTGCCTCTCAAAGAGCCTTTGGTTTGGGGCAGGGATAGGACAGGGCGTTCCCAGGCAGCCTTATCAGTACCAGACAGTACTCAGACTGCAGCCTCAACTGTGCATGTCTGTGTTTTTCGAGACCTGTAAAGGGCTGGATCTGCTTACAGGGCCATTAGCTGTGGGGTTCCACAGGCCACCTTCCAGGGGTGGCGGAGCATCTCTCCTACATGCTCACCTCCAGAACTGGAGCTTTTGGCTCTTAACCATTTCCAGCCCAGGCGTTTAGTGAGGCAGGAAGATGGGATTGGGTGGTCAGGGTACACTGCTTTGAGGAGTAGGATTCTCCAGGAGTTTGTTTGCTCATGGACTCGGCCTTTCCTTCTCTGAGCCAAAGTGCACAGACATGGCTTTGCATGACCATGTTTTGTGTTCCTCTAAGGAGCACAGTCAGCACCATTTCTTGATGCATAAAAGAGAAGATGATCCGTATGGTGGATGGTAGGAGAGTAGGGCTTAGATCTTTCATGGAATGTTAGTTAATTTATTCAGTATATTTATTGCATCCCTATTATATAACAGATACTCTTACAGGTGCTGCTTATACAGTACTGCACATATGAAATCATGCTTTAATGGAACTTACATTCTAATGAAGATTTAGTATACATAGTTTTTAAACTTCTCTATCCATAGATACTGAAGAAAAGATGGGACCAACCTACCAGAAGGGAAAACCAACATGACTGAGGAGGAAATGGACCTGGGACCTAGCTGCTTTCTGCTCTTTCCCACATAGAAAAGCCTGAAACAAGGCAGGCTGTTCTCAGTTCTACCACAGGGCCTCGAGACCCGGAGCACACCTCTCTGTCCCTGAGGTCTTGATCAGGAAGTGCCTCAGAATAGATAGTGTTGAAATCATCACCTAGGAAGATACTGGGAGCTCAGTGACAAGGCTAGGGTTGGAAGGATGGACTCACCAGGCTTGGATCTGGGACACTGGAAGGGTCCTTTGTTCTGCAGACTCTTTCCCCAGAGCGTTTAAGTCACTTCACAAGCTCGCCCTCCGTGTAGGCTTGAGGTTTAAGTTTCCAAACTTTCTGCTCACAGAACATTTATTTCCGCCCCCACGGCTCCTCTAAGCCAAAGGAAATTTCTAACAGTTGTGTTTATTAAGTAGGTGAATCCAAATAACTTAATAAGTAGTAATTTGTACACGATCTGACAAATGCCTCTGTGTTTCCCTTGGAATTTAAAAATACCCCAAAGTAGGCCTGCGAGTTCACTGTCAAATGCTTAGCGTCTGCTCGTTCTCACAGGCTCCAGGCAGAGAGAGCGCTTTTAGGATACAAATGGTCCTTAACAGGGGTAGCTTATCATCAGCCCTGAATGCCAGATGCATCCATCTGGTTTGCTGGAGAGTGGGCTAAGCCTAAAGAGCTGGAAAGTACAGAGATTAAGTTTTGGAGGGAAACAAGACAATGGGCACGTTTTAAAGTATGGCAGGGGTGAGCCAGACCTTGAGGGGAAGGGGAAGGTATGGAGCCCTGCTAAAGCCCTTCCTCACAGCCCCCGGAAGTGAAGGAAGAGGATGGAGGAAGAGGATGGCAGGACAGTGTTTACTCGCTTACCTGTCTCCTCATGTCTGACGCCGGCAGTGCACTGAAAGGCTCGCTCAGTCTCCTCATGTTCTAGAAATTCTAACGCTGTTCACCCCTGCCCTCTGTCTTTGCGCTAGCTGTTTTACTTCCAGGACAGATCACGTTTGAATCTCACACACTGTATGAATAAAGCTTGACTGAGCTCTATCTTGAGCCTAGAATGCAAATGCTACGGACATGTGAAAAAAGGGTCTCTTTTATGAGCTGGGTGTCCCAGCTCGCATTGGGAAGACCTTCGGGACCCCACAGTCTCTCTTTTTTTCATTGTGGGGGTCATGCACAGTTTGGTCATGTCTGTGTGAGACTTCCTTCCCCCAGAAGATAAAGACACTGCCGCCTCCTCCTTATGAGGCTCCAACCACAAACAAAACGACAAGCCCACCAATGTTCACCTTAAGTCAGTAGTCTGAATATTTGGCTGTACCTTTTCTTATTTCCAGAAAAGTTACAATAGGAAAGGCAAGGCGTGTCTCAGAATGGATACACTATGATAACTTTTAGACATCTATGATGGTTAGGTGTTCAGCTAGGCATGATTTATCGTTGTTAGCCTGACTTCTGAACCTACACCTAGTGATGATTTCAGAATTTTGTTACCTAACCAATGCTTTAATCTCTTAGTTTAGGTTTCTCCAAAAGCAGCATTCAAGACAAAGATGTATGAAAGATGCCTTTATTTGTACGGTGGTCCGAAGTGTGTGAAGGAACAGGGAGAGAGCAGAGAGAAGGAAGAAGCTACTCAGTGCAAATGGTTGGGCCACCGCTTGTGGCTGCTGGTGCCACTCAGTCAGTCTTCCGTGACAGTTTCCAGAGTAATCGTTTCATAGGGCCTTTGTCCAGTGGTTCTCATCTACCCTGGATTAGGAATTGTCCCTGGAGATTTTAGCTACTCCTTTTCCCGGGCGCGCCTCTGTGGGGACATATTGCACAAATTTCCTTTGGGGGACTGAATTCAGTGTATCCTCAGCTGCTGTAACTGTTACTCATGTTTTACTTGTTTGTTGCTTTTTTATATTGTATGATTTCCCCACACTTCCCCCTGGCCTGGATCCCCTCACCTACCCTTCCAGCTATGCCTGTTAACCCTCGTCAGTCCTATCCCGATCTAATTCTCCATTTTGTCTGCCTCATGCCACAGTGTTCAACTGTTGCTGTCATTTGTACTCAGCTGTGATAAGACATTTTGATGAAAATGTAGGGATCTGGCAAAAAAAAAAAAAAAAATTGTGGAGAAAAAGTAAAATCATTTAGGCTAATTAAAACACTAAAGCATAATTGAATTGGAACAGGGTCATAAAACTCACTTATCTTATTGGGATGTCATGAAACCTAGCTAGTTGGTATTCATGGTTTGAGCACAAAAAGAAAAATTGTTATTGATTTACATATAAT